ACACTTTGCAGACAAGTTAAAAATGAAAAAACGGACCTATTCCAAGTCCTCAAACCAAAATCTGAAACTGATAGCAATAAAGTCAACTTACGGTAAAACTTATAAAATTTTCGAACCTTCAAATTGCCAACTTTCGACAAAACAAGCCAAATCAACCTAAGAACCTCCGAACTCAATTTCGGGCACACACCTAAGTCAAAAATCACTATACGAACCTATTTGACCTATCAAAATACCGTTTCGGGGTCATTTTCACAAAAATCAAGCCCCGGTCAACATTTCCAACTTAAGCTTCTAAACCAAGAACCAAAGGATCCAAATCACTCCAAAACCTCCACGAAACGAAACCAATCATTCCCGCAAGTCATAAAACCACAAATACGCATAGGGAAAGCTTCAAAGGGGAAACGAGGCTCATTCAGATTAGGTTGTATTTGGTTGTACCCAGAGTATAACCAAAAGTAGGCATCGAGAGTTGTACCCAAAAGTAGGCTCATTCATCCGTATTTGGTTGTACCCAGAGTAGGCATCGAGAAAACTGATGATCTCGTGGTCGGCCGTGGTATCGATCATGCGATCGATGTTGAGCAGAGGGAAGGAGTCCTTGGGACATGCCTTATTCAGATCCTTATAGTCTACACACATTCTTAATTTATTCCCTTTTTAGGTACTACCACTACGTTAGCTACCAATCCGGGTATTTAACCTCCCGAATGGACCCTATTTTAAGGAGTTTAGATACCTCATCCTTGATGAAAGCATGTTTGACCTCGGACTGGGGCCTCCTCTTCTGCTTGACCGGGTGGAACTTCGGGTCCAGGCTTAGCTTATGAGTGGTTATCTCCGGCGGGATCCCTGTCATATCAAGGTGGGACCAAGCGAAAAAATCTTCATTAGCCATAAGAAATTGAATAGGGTTTTCTTGAGCTCGGGGCTTAACCCCGTGCCTAAGTATACCTTTCGATCGGGCAAATGTTCGTTTAGTACGACTTGTTCCAGTTCCTCGACCGTTAATTCTGTAGCGTCAGAATCATTGGGGGCTATGAAAGATCCGGGGACTCCGTAGTCATCGTCCTCATCTACTCTTCGTTCCTCCAATTCCTTCAAGGCTGATATCGGTGATTGCTATTTGGCCCCGTTTTTGACCATCCGATTCGGATCCTCCGATGTTGAGAGTGTGGATGCCGGGATCACCTCATCAACCGCGAACATCTTCTTGGCAGCCGGTTGTTCCCCATAAACTGTTTAGAATCTTCCGGGTGTTGGGAATTTCAGCACCTGGTGCAGTGTCGAGGGTACTGCTCTCATTTTGTGAATCCATGGCCTGCCGAACAAAGCATTGTATCTCATATCCCCTTCGATTACATAGAACTTGGCTTCCTGCACGGTTCCAACGATGTTCACCGGTAATGTTATCTCCCCTTTAGTGGTCTCGCACGCCATGTTGAACCCGTTCAGGACTCGAACCGTAGGTACGATCTGATCTTGTAGGCCGAGTTGTTCCATGACCCTCGATCTGATGATGTTGGCTGAACTAACTGGATCAATTAACACATGCTTAACTCGAGATTTATTTACGAGTACTGATATTACCAGTGCGTCGTTGTGGGGCTGCACGATCCCCTCAGCGTCTTCGTCGTTGAAAGACAGGGTTCCTTCCGGTACATAATCCCGAGTCCATTTTTCCCTTGTGATGGATATTTTGGTGCGTTTCAGCATCGGACCCTGGGGAAAGTTGACTCCACCGATGATTATGTTAATGACGTGCTGAGGCTCTTCCTGCTCGGTCTGCTTATTAGAATCATTGTTCCTCAAGTAGTTCTTGGCCCGATCACTTAGAAAATCTCGGAGATGCCCGTTGTTGAACAGCCGGGCCACCTCTTCTCTTAATTGTCGGCAGTTTTCCGTTCTGTGGCCATGATTGCCATGATATTTGCACATTAGGTTGGGATCCCTTTGGGATGGATCAGACTGTAAAGGTCTAGGCCATTTGGTATCTTTGATGCGTCCAATGGCATATATAATAGCAGCGGCATCGACATTGAAGTTGTACTCCGATAATCTCGGTGCTTCTTTAGGCCCGACGGGCCTATCGAAGTTGTTTTTGCTCATGAGTCCCGGGTTGCTCTAACCTCGATCACATCTCATTTCATTTCTCATAGAGTTCCACCCGGACCCACTGCTTCTTTGGTCTCCATTGTATGGCTGATACCGATCCCTGTTTGATCTCGGTCACGATCGATGTCTCTCTTGACTCTATCGATGGTTCTAACGGGACACACGGACCCGAAAATGGCCCCAAGATGATCATCCTCGACCCTGATTTTTGACTGGTACCGATTACGGATATCGGCCCAAGTGAAATCCGGATATTCCAGCAAGTTTTGTTTCAACTGTTGTGAAGCCAACGAGCTCTGAATGTTGAGTCCTTGGGTAAAAGCCTGAACGGCCCAATCATCAGCGACGGGTGGCAGGTCCATCCGTTCCATTTGAAACCGGGATACAAACTCTCTGAGCATCTCATTATCCTTCTGTTTTACTTTGAAAAGGTCTGACTTCATGGTATCGACCTTGATAGCCCCGGCGTGTGCTTTCACGAAAGAATCTACAAGCATAGCAAATGAGTCAATAGAATTAGGAGGTAAGTTGTGATACCATATCATAACTCCTTTTGACAGGGTCTCTCCAAACGTTTTCAACAAGACAGATTCGATTTCATCATCCTCCAAGTCGTACTCCTTGATGGCACACGTGTAGGAGATAACATGCTCGTTTGGGTCGGTCGTTCTGTTGTACTTAGGGATCTCGGGCATGCGGAACTACTTAGGGATCGGCTTTGGAGTTGCGCTCGGAGGAAAAGGTTTTTGCACGAACTTCTTGGAATCCAAGCCTTTCAATACCGGCGGTGCGCTCGGGATTTGGTCGACCCTGGAATTGTAGGTTTCTATCTTTTTGTCATTAGCTTCGATTTTCTTTTCCCCTGATTCTACCCGTTTTGTCAGTTCCTCGAGCATCTTTATGATCTCGGGGTTAGTCCCCGATTCACTTTCATTCGACCTCTTTGTGACCGGTTCATCCCTGCGGATGACTTTTCGGGACGGATCGGGTTCAATTCTTCTCGGTGCGCAGCTTTGGTTCTATAACTAAGTTATCGCCGTCTGTTGAGCCTGCAACATTTCGAAGATCACCCGTAAATTGATCCCGTCATCTCCAATGTTTTGTGTATTTTGAGCTGTCGATCGGGCTCCATCACAGACGCTATCTCGGGATTGGTAGGCAGGTTTGTGATAGCCACATGTGAATTAGCGTCAATCGGGTCCGTGACCGGAATTCCGATAGGATCAACGGGCAGTACCTCATCACCGGGCTCTATGTTGTTGTTTTCACCGTGATGACCAAACTCATTGTCAACATGTAGGGGCGTTGACTAAGAGTTTGACATTTTGAGCTTTAACCTGAAATTAGAGACACTTAAAAGAACAAGTATAAAGTAGTGGGTGTTATGGAGATTTGTATCAAATAACCACTATTATCCTTAGCCCCACGATGGGCGCCAAACTGTTTACCCTCAAAATCGGATAACAATTGAATTTGTAAGTGGTTTTAAGGATACGTGGATTAACTTGACACAAAATGATGAATTAGATTGCAATTGAAATAAATAACGATAAAGTAAATGCAAACCACACGAATTGGACAATTTCATCCTTGGAAGATTAACCACCCTCGAGCCGAATGCACTTTGATCGGTATCAAGGCACAGAAGAATAAGAGCTTAAAGAGAATAATAATAATGTATTGCTTTGGAATGCGTATTATAATGTGTGGAATGAATTATCAGACCCCCCTTTATATAGTAGAGGAGTCCTACTTTAGGTACAATTCTATAAAAGGTAAAAATCTCTTGATTTGCTGAACGCCGGTTCCTTACTGATACGCACCAAGATTCCCGTTGTAATATCCGACCGATCACTGATGTTTGGGTCTTCTGTTGGTTATGCTAACAATGTTTCTTCGAGCTCGTTCGGGGCTAGGATCGATTCTGGGATCACGAACTCAATATTCTCGAAGGTAGGCATTCTGACAACGGGTTCTAGCTTGGTGGGATTTGGAGCCGATCTTCAGCCCTTGATTGTCATATTCCGAGCCTAACCTACCATGTCTTAGGCGAGCTCGATTTCGACCGTATACATATTTTGTATGTTATCAAATACCTTCCAGTAAAATACTCATAACTTTTTATACCAAGCTCGTATTAACAACGATTTGCGGTATTGAAAAATAGACTCAATGGGCTATAATTTTTAAAATTGAAAACCATGAAAAAACTTTGTAACCTGAGAGTTATACTCGATCAAAGTCAAATAATATGCGAATTTGGACATCTTTTCCCGTCAACATTTTCAACTTGTTCCAAACTATTTTTCCCCACTTCCAAACATCTTTAATATGTTCCAAAACATGTTACCACGTATATTTTCACGTGCAAATGATATTATTAAATTTATTCATGTTAGCATGCAAACAACGCGTTTAACACTTGATGATCATTTAATGGACCTTAAACACTTTGGAATTTTCCGGAGACCTACAGTTATGTTCTCATCTTTTTCGCTTTGCTTTTGCATTGACTTCTTCGAATTCCATTTTTTTTTTTTTTGGAACTTACAGTAGAGACGTTTGGCCTCTAAAAGGGATTGCAATAATTGGCCATGACATGAGCACTCCATTGATAAATGAGAGATTAACTACGTTTGCAGAGAAAATTATTGTATACTTTTTTTCTTTTTGAATGGTAATAATTGTATTCATAATAAGCACAAAAGCCGTGCCGGAGTTTCTGAATAAGAAATTTCTACCTCATTTGCATATTCCTTTTCACACCAAAAGTGAAATAACTAAGATTCAATCTAACTTAATCGTCTGGACTGATTTTTGCTTCTCTTCAAAACATCTTGTGTTCCGTTCTATCCAAATCACTGATTAGACACAAGATGGAATCGTGTACCAACAGCTATTTCAAGCTTTATCCAATTAAGAACAGAATTGCAAGGCACGTGTCCAGACAGGACAAGGGATCAAAAGATAAAAAAACAAGTAATGTTACTGAATAAGCCAATGCCAGTGATGAAGTTGTATATGAGATTTTGGCTTACATGTTCGTTTACAGCAAATCACCCCTTCTCACTCTATGCATAATGGCCTCTTGCAAAAATTCATGTGTCTGGCTCCCGGTTCTGCACTGCACTCCTTGAGATGCCCCAAAGGTAGGGGTTTCTCATGAAACTTCTTCCAACCGATACAGAATGGATATAAACAATTTTACTATCAGTATCAAAATAATGAAGCGCATCAGCAGGATATACCAGGCGAAGCAAGTTAGAAGAAAACGCAAATAACTACAGCACCCTTTTCAGCAAGAGGATGACCAATCACTAAAAGGTACCTGCAGAGCATAATGCATGCCACTTCATCAATGCAGGTTCCGAAGATGGACCCTCCATGATTAAACTGGTTTTATATCCACAGTAAAGCTTTTATGTGCAACCATTCCAATCTTCAATCTGCTGCCAATATACTCTCTAGATGCTCTACTGCACTTCCATAACCAATCTTGCTAAACAAATGACGGACTAGAACATTCCACGTAGATATCTTGGGTGGAATGCCATCATTTATCATCCTTTGAAGGCAACAGATTGCCGCTTCCAAACCAATCCAACTGCACAGTCCATCTATCAGACAAGTATAGGATATGAAATCTGGACGCAAGTCCACTGGACTCATAGCATTCAGAAGTTGTTTTCCAGATTCAACCTTTCCACCCTTACAGTATGCATTCATAAGTATGTTGAACGTGAGAACATCAGGCTTAATTCCCCTAACCAGCATTTTTGCCACAACTTCTTCAGCTTCCTCAAGCATCCCCATATGGCAGAGACCAGATGCTATAGTGTTGTATGTAACTAAATTAAACTCAATATCGTTTTCCTCCATCTCCCTAACAAGCTCAAGTGCTACCGTAAGGTTGTTACATTTGAATAATCCATCCAACAACTCATTATATGTGGCAGTATTACCTGAGCACCCAAATCTTTCCATTTGATTATATAGCACCATTGCCCATTCAACTCTACCACTAAAACACAAACCTTTAATAAATTTATTAAAAGTAATGGTATTTGGTGGGAAATCTTCTATTACCATGTTATCTAGAAGACTATAAGCTTGTTCAAACATTAAATTTCTGCAGAGTACATCAACCATACATGTATATACCACAACATTTGGACGACAACCAAGAGTGATCATCCTATTCCATATCTCAGATGCTTTAATCACATCTCCAGATTTAGCAAAGCCATCAATGAGGGTGCTGTAGGTTGTCGAATTAGGATGGCAGTCACTTCTCTCCATCGTATTACAAACAGACAGAGCCATATTCATATTACCAGCCAAACACAGACCATGGAGAAGTGCATTATATGCTACAACGTTGGGCGAAACTCCCTCTTTGATCATACCATCCCACACGTAAAGAGCTTCATGCCGTCTGCCCCTCAATGAAATTCCCTTAATCAAACAGGTAAATGAGCAAATATTTGGAGAACAGCCACTAACAAACATCTTGCTCAACATGGCAAAAGAAAGACCAATATCTCCTTGGTCAGCAAATGCATTTAAAATCGTGGTGTACGTGATGACATTAGGATCAACCCCCTTGTCAGCCATCTCATCCAACAAATCAACTGCCTCCTTAGTACTATATATCTTACAAAGCCCATTTATTAGAGCATTATAAATAGGAGCAGTAGGAGTAAATCTCATCGCTAGTTCTCTAGCTTCTTTTACTTTACCAAGTTTACACAAGGAAGAAACAATTGTTGTATAGCTCACTTCATCAGGAGAGCACCCCCTGTTTGACATTTCCACAAGTAACTTCTGAGCTCCGTCAATCCTATCGTTCTTGCACAATGCTTTCAGAAGAATGTTATAGGTATACACATTGGGAACAACCCCGTCTTTCTTCATGTTACTGTAAATAGGATTAACCATGTGAAACCTATTCTCGCTGAGCAATGCATCCAAGAGATGGTTATATATCCTGACCGTAGGCTTACACCCAAAATCCTGTATCCTATAGAAAGTCTTCAAGGCTTGCTCTGGCGCCTTTGCTCTCCTATACGAATCGATCACATTGATAAATATCTCCTCGGAACAACTAATACGCTCCAATTTCATCTGTTGTAAAAGGTATTGAACACTGTCCATCTCCTTCTGCTGCCCGAGTTTTTCCATCATTATTTTATATGTTAAAGGGGTGTGCTTGAAAGATGTTGAATTGGCAACCCATTTGAAATACTCTAAAGCAGTGGAAATATTTTCTTCATATTTCAGTCTCTTCAACACATCAGATTCCTTGAGCTCAACTGGGATTTTACCATTTTGACCATTAAGTTTATAAACAGTGAGGATTAAAGGAACAGACTTTTTGTGGACTTTTAACAGCAATGAACATCCTTCTTTCAAGTACATAGTACAATCAAAGAAAAAATTTATCAATGTTAAATGCAAGAAGAAACCAAAGTAGGAACTAAGCAGCAACTGGGTATTGAAAAAGAATCCGAGTGACTCAAATCAGGTTATCAAAAGCACAACATGAACCAATAATAATTAGAAGAGTAATCTAAAAAAGAAGAAGTTGATACTGAGTTTTTCGGTAGAGAAACTATACTGGATAAAGAAATTGAGATCAAATTACTGATTTTCACGTTTTCCAGCAGTTAGGGGAATGCCGGACCGTCCGTTAAGGCGTTAAGAGTCGGAACATTACGACCCGAAAATGTTAAGGCCTAAATAAGGGTGAGAGCCAATCGGCCCAATGGAGACCCAGAAACAACCTTTATCTTTTGACCCCAATGGTGGGATTAGGCATATGGATTTTGTAAGCAACTTTTACCTCCTATCTATACTATATTATAAATTTATTTATCTCTTTTAGAGAGATTATCACTTTATTACATTAGTATATATATATAATTTATTATTTATATAAAAACAATATATTAGATGCTAATCTTACCCATTTTAGAATTCATTCTTTTCTATTCCTCCCCCCTCTCTCTCTCACCTGCTACCCTTACCCTCTATCTTCGTATCATTAGTTTTCTTCATTAGTAGTTTATTTGTTTCAGCTTTTATTCGTTTTTTATTTTTGAGTTTTTGATTTGCAATTCTTTGATCATATTTGTTGAGAATTTAAGCTGACCGAGTGATTCAAGCGGGTGATCCGAATTTTTAAGTTCTTTTTCAGTTTTTTTTGTGTGGGGGCGCGCGCATTCAGTTTGCAACTAGTTCTATCTTCTTTTTCTTTTTTGTTGATTAGAGGTAGCTGCTTGTATGTCTATGTTGTCAATGATTGATCACGATTAGGGAATGATGAAACGTGAAGATATGAGTTTAAACTACATTGACCGTCATTAAAAAGTTTCGAAGCTTTGAATTCGAAAATTAAATTTTGTAAAGTTGTTATTTATTTGGATTGGGTTTTGCTGCAAATAATTTGGAGTATCCTTCGTAGTCTATATCTCAATTTTGAAAGAATTTGGTGAAGGTTCGAGTTGATTTTGGTTGGAATTACATATTGAAACTCGAATAAGAAGACATAAATAAGTTGTATATTTTTTGTATATCGGGTGTATAAACGACATATAAATTACAACTAATATAATTATATGCAAGTTGTATATAAGTTATATGTAAATTCTAGGTTTATACAAAAAAATTATATACTAGTTGTATATAATTTATATATAAATTATAGCTTTTGACCTGATTCTGAACAAAAAGAATTATATTCAAGTTGTATATATATTAATTATAGCTTTTGACCGAATTTGTATATATTTTATAAAAAATAAAATAGTTACTTTTTTAAATAGTAAAATATAGCTAAACGGGGTAAATATAATCCTAATTTTATATATCATAAAAAATTCCTTTTTGTAACGTGTTAGTACAAGATTGTCCTAGGTTAGAACTATCCCCATTTTGAAATTTTCAAAAATAGCATTTTGCTACGGACGATAGAAAGTGTGATCGATCGCACTACTAAAAATTGCCTGTTTACCGACGCAAATTATCGAGGGACGTCCCTCAGTAATAAAGCTTTCCCGAAGGAAGTCCATCGGTAAGTGGTACGTAAGTAAATCTTTCCTCGGTAAAAGCGACCGACAGAATCCCTCGATAATTACCGATGGAACCCATCGGAAAGCCATCGATACCTTTCTGACACTATTTGGTCAAATAATTTTACTTACCGACGAATATTTATCGGTATATTATAAAATAATATAATATCAATACTAACGGATATCCGTCGGTAAATTAAAAATAATAATTTAATATTACCGACGGATACCATCGGTATATTTAGATTTTTAATTTATTAATTTGAAAATTAAAAATATGAATAAATTCATATTCCGAAAGATATCTGTCGATATGTTCAATAAAATTTGAAAATTTGTTTTAAGTATACCGACGGACTCCCTCGGTAAGTATGAATTCTGGATTGACAAATAAATAATTTTTTCGACGGACTATATCGGTAAGTCGCTCGATAAATTTGGTATATTTTTGGCATGCAGTGCTTATTATTTGCTGCACCACCTGCCAGCTAGGATATTACAATAGAAACAGCAATGCAACCATAATAAAACACAAATTAACAACAATAAAACTTTATAAACTATCCAAACATACCAAACATCGAAATTATCCCATCAAACATCAAAACTATCTAACCAAACTTCAAAATGTAATATTCAAAGTCAACATCCAACTAAACAACAATCCAACCAAACATAAAATCACTCATCTTTGGTTTCCCCCTCATCTTCTACATCGTTTATATTGTTTCCATCACCTTGATCCTCTTCATATATGTGGCTTTTTGGTGGAGAATGGGGCAGGCCGATTAAGTGGTTCACTTGAGCCTTGAGGGACTTGATGTCATTCCTAAGTGTGGTCCTAATCTTCTCTTCATGCTTTTTTTTCCTCATTCATCCACATAGTTCCTAGAAAGTTGTTGAATCATTCGCTGCATCTCCTCAAGGTCCTCACTTTGCACGGTCGCGGATGTCCCAATACCTTATAATTCACAAAAGAGAAGTGAAAAAAAATTATCAAGAACAGTTAGAAAGTTGCTGAAACTCTACGAATGCAGATCATACATTGACGACAACAAATTGAAAGAAAATCTAGAACAGGTTGCTTCCTGAGTCATGAAATGAGACTTAAGTTCACAAAAGCATGTCTTGTAACATCATAACTGATCTAGGGAATTTTTCATATCCCATAATTAATATATTTTAAATTCAGGGATGATTAAAAAATCAGTATTTAAGAATCTTTACCCTGGACAGCCAGAAAATAAATTTTAGATTCATTGACAACATTCATTAATAGTGATTGGCACTCCATGGGATAATACAAGTAAATAGTAAAGCCATGGTCATTTTATACTATCAGAAGCAAATTCTAAACCAATTCATATTGTAAGAAGTGACGGTTGTAACTAAGAAATATTTTTCCAATTAAAAAGGTAGAACCTAATACTGATCTTGCATGCAGAATACTGACCTTCCTTAATTTGAAAAGTTAAGTATTTTCTCCAAAACATATTAACCAAATAGCAGGTAAATCATAGCTTGTATGTTAAAACAACAGACTCTAATTAGAATTTGTTGACATTGTAATTGCAAGCAAAACAACAAAATCAAAATCTAAATGAAAAATCAATCAACCAATTTCAATCAATTTCAAACACGCTGAGATTGGCTATATGAATCTTTTGTATTTGTTCCGCTTTACCAAAGCTCAATTGCATTCTAATACTTGTAATTAATAAAACATTTTTTCTAAAATGCAAATTCAAGATTCTACGAGCACCTTCAAATTTGATTATAGCAAACTTGAAAATGGAACCACTATGAAGAAAATCACTAGATAAGGATATTATTTTGTCACGACCCAAACAAACCCCTGTCGTGATGGCGCCTATCGTGGAACTAGGCAGGCCGACTCATTTCCAAAACAAACCGATGTTTTCATTTCAAAGATAATTTCAATGCTATTTAACATAAAAACTTTCGCAAAGGAGTTCAAATTAAAATAAAAGTGCAGAAAAGAAAAGCACGATATCGGGGTGTCACTAGTCATGAGCATCTACAACAATCTGTCTAACAATATCAAGGCTAACTCAGCTTGGAAAATAGCTAAATACAACTAGAGGAAGATAAGAGGGAGAAGAGCAGGGGCTGCGGTCGCCAAGCAGCTACCTTACTATCCCTGAGAAAATCTGTAACCAAAATAATCAACAACCGCTACCGTGCCAAGCTATACCTGGATCTGCACACAAGGTGCAGGGAGTAACGTGAGTATGCCAACTCAGTAAGTAACAACAATAAATAAAGACTGAGCAGTAGTGACGAGCAATAAAGCATATAACGTTCATATCGGGAAATTTCAGTAGAATACCACATGCTTTAAAAATCAGGATTTGAATCAAAATATCTCGTTTAAATCCAATTCCAGTAAAAATAATTTAAAGATATTTTTCAACAGTTTTCAACAGAGGAAAAATGCAAAGGTGAGCAAAAATGATGAAATCATAAACAGCCCATCGGGCAAAACATCACTCATATACAGCCCCTCGGGCAAGCCTCACAGTTACTCGTGCCACTCGGGCATACCTCACAATCACTCTTGCCACTCGGACATACCTCACAATCACTCATGCCTCCCAGTCACTCAGCACTCGGCACTCGCACTCACTAGGTACCTGCGCTCACTAGGGGTGTGTACAGCCTCCTGAGGGGCTCCTTCATCCCAAGCGCTATAATCTGCACGGACAACTCACGTACTACACGGACAACTCACGTGCTATAATAATAAAGTATGCTGCAGGCGGGCAGCCCCGATCCACACTCATCCTCACAATCAGGCCCTCGGTCGATATCAAACATGTTGCGGCGTGCATCCCGATCCCCTAAATATGCAACATGCTGCGGCATGCAGCCCGATCCCATAAATATGCAACATGCTGCGGCATGCAGCCCGATCCCATAAATATGCAACATGCTGCGGTGTGCAACCCGATCCCATAAATATGCAACATGCTGCAGCGTGCAGCCCGATCCCATAAATATGCAACATGCTGCGGCGTGCTGCCCGATCCCATAAATATGCAACATGCTGCTGCGTACAGCCCGATCCCATAAATATCCTCCCAAATCAGGCCCTTGGCCTCACTTAGTCATAAACCTCTAAAGCCACTCGGGCATTTCAGTAAAAAACAGGACATTCGGCCCAAAACAACATTTATATGCATCAAAATAGAGTTATAAAACTAAGTTATGCAGTAAACAAGTATAACCATGACTGAGTATACATTTTCAATCGAAAACAGTGAGAGGATAGTAAGAAAAGGCCCCTAAGGGTCCAAACAGCACTAGCACAAGGCCCAAACATGGCATTCAACCCAATTTATAGAAACTCTTTCTAAAACATATAAGTATCATATAGTTTCAACAAAGTATGCAACTTTACAGTTGCTACGGGACGGACCAAGTCACAATCCCCAACAGTGCACGCCCACACGCCCGTCACCTAGCATGTGCGTCACTAAAAATAGTAGAACGATACAAAATTCAGGGTTTCAAACCCTCAGGACTAGATTTACAATCGTTACTTACCTCAAATCGGTCAAATCTCTACCCCGCAATGCTCTTGTCTTTGGACTCGGCCTCCAAATGCTCCAAATCTATTTACAATC